AAGTAGCAACAATAAAACCATAATCCGCTTGCTGATTTCGCATGTCGTTTTCGAGTTTAGTAATTCAATTGTTTTCTCATTTTTCAGTATTTTTCGTTTCGTAAATAATTCGCCCGGCTAATTTTTTTGGTTCTTGGTCGGTAAATACTTCTTGCATAAAATCGGCTCTTTTGCCAGTGCCACTCTGACCCTTACTAATATCACTAATGTTATCACGGTCGTCAAAGACTTTTTGTAATTCTTCCAAAAACCATTTTTCGAATTCCTCGCCTTTTTTTTGCCCGGGCTTTTTTTGCCCGAGCAGGAGAGTTTGATTTTTTTCCCGTAATTCTTCGTTTTCTTTTTGACGTTTAGTTAACTCCTCATTTAATTTTCGCACCCGATCAAGATTTTCAATATACTCCGAAGATTGTAACTTGGTTACCTGATTTTGGAGATTTTCAAGATTTTTTCGTAACTCTTTAAATACCGAAAATCCTTCGTAAAGCCGGTTTTGCTCTATTTCTTTTAGCCATTTTTGCCGATAAACTCGATTGCGGGAAGCAAATTGTTCTTCTACTATTTCCTGAACTCTTTCGTTAATAAATTGAAAAATCGCAGCCTCTTTGCTAAAATGAGTATCATTAATTTCTTCCTGGCAATGAGGGCAAGGAAAAGCCAGCCGGTAGGTTTTGACTATTTTTTTGATTTCCTCCCGAACTTCTTGCCCTTGATGAATGTTTTCCATAATGCTTATTTTACTCTTATTTTTTAGAAACTATCTAAACTCCTCCTTGACCCCGCTGGTGGTTAGTTCGTAATTTCTTTCTATTTTCTGTGATATTAACGTTAATATTAAAAAATGTGAAATCGCTGCCAGCCTAATTTTATCTAGTTCCTAATATTTAAAGAGAATTGCTTTTTGAATAAAGAACTGACATTTTTTTCGCATAATACAATAACTTTTTCCTTAGCCTAAAACTAATAACTCAAAAAGACAATTCCGAATAAAAGCCGTTAATCACAAAACTAAATACGTCTAGCGGGCTCTCCAATTAACCCCAAAGTAGTTTTACGCATAAAATGCACGCAACTTGTTTACTAGCCTTGATTGCTCGGTAAAAAATTAGTATCAGTCTAATTTTTTAAGTAAACATAATATGAGAAGCCAAAGGTTTTTAAGGATATTTAATAGTTCTTTTTGTAATAGTAATAAATATAATAAGTGTGATTAGTTTTGTGGAAACAAGCAATATTCCTCTCTTCTTTGCCAGTAAAAAAAATCCTCAGGGTTAGGTTATAATAAATAATAACATTAAGTGTATGGAGACAGAAAAAAAGTATTTAAACAAAATTATTTGTTTATTTTATCCCTCATTGCTTAATAATTTTGGATTTCAATCCGAGAAAGGAATTACATTCTTCTCGGAGAAAAAAGCACCAAATATTAAGCAGTTTTTAGCGGAATTAGTTACTGAAAAACAAGTGGAAAAATTAATTTTTCTTAACTATCCGCAACAAGAAGAACAACTCAATGAACTAAAAACCGAATTAGCCAAAATCGACCGGCAAATTACTAATATTATCCTTTTTCATCTCGAAAACTATGATTTGTTAGAGGAAATTTGGAGCCAATATTTAATTTGCCCGAGTTGCGAAAAAATTTTTGTCAAACAGACTTTCATCCAGGAAAATGGTCAATTTATTTGTCCGCAAGAAGGCAAGGTGAAATTTTCCTCCACCACTGTGGCCGAATTTAACCAAAATTACTGGGAAAATTATTTTAAAAACAACAAAATTTTACTAGAAAAAATTCTGGCTACGGAAGAAAAAACTTCTCCTCTCCGCATTAATCGCTTAACTATCCGCCAAAAGGAAGAACTTTTTTCCGGTGAAATTCGGGAAAAATTATGGGAAATAATTAACAATATCTAACTACCACAAGGACAGTCGAACAAAAACTTAGCATAGAAAAATTGCCATTAAAAGACCCGGCTTAATAATCTTGCTCATTTTTTTCATTTTCATCATAATATTTTCTCTATTTTTAACTCTTGTCAATAAACTCCACCAAATTACGATCCAAATTAGCCGGATTAATAAAATCGGAACATTCTTGCTCGGAACTAGTAGTTATGTATAGTCCCATTTTAGGTCGGGTTATAGCGGTAAAAAATAAGTTTTTTTCTTCATTTTCCTCCCACTCATCATTAAATTTTTCTTATCAGAAGTTTTTTTCTTAACCATTTTTCGGTCTAGTCTATAAGTCAAAAGTCAAGAAAAATGAGTAAAG